ATAGGTAAAGCTTAGATTTATTATATATTAATATTATTAAAAATAGTTTGTTTTTCTCCTATAAGCAATTTTTCGATAGCTCAGTGGTTTAGTGCACTTCACGGTGGGAGAAAACTTAAAAAACTGGGCCAAAAGTCAAAAGATAATTGAAATGATTTTAAAATTTGTGGGTAATAAGGTAATCCCGAAATCTTAATTTAAGATTAGATTTTAAAAAATTTTAAAATAGCATAACCAAAATTGCAATATTTACCAAAAATTTAGTAAAAATGCCTGTCGACCTTCGTTCTCTTAACATTTAGTTTCCATTTGACATTTAAATTTAAAATGGCAAACGCTAATGACATGGGAATTATTATTATCCGCATTATTAATCACAGAACAGTGTTTACATCAAACTCAAAATCCAAGGATCACCTTTACGGTTTAAAAGATAATTAAAAATATAAACATATTTTTTAAATGAATAATTAAATGAATTTAAATGAATAAATAAATAATTAAAGCAATATTTCTTTAAATATTCAATAAGCCAAGGCCCGTCATTACGGAATCAATTAAAAAATAATTTGAAAAGCACTTTCTCTTTTAAACGACAAATGAAACTGCATCTCCTTAATTTCTAACATATATGTAAGTATGTTTGTGTGTGTTTTTATGGGTATATGTATATATGAGTATATATGTATATATGAGTTTTTCTTTATTCTTTACGTAGTATTTAACAGATAAAATATTTGTTGTAAGTTAACTAAAGCCATGTGGGCTTTAAATGATATTGTAAAGGAGCTCTATAAAAAGATTGTGGTGACACCAGTCATCCTTATCTTCTTTGAGCCCCTGTAATTTTATATATATTCTTTGTGTAATGTAAAAGTTTCATTGTAATTTTATTATTCTTTAATTTTTATATAAACAGCGAAATAAATTAAAAAAAAAAAATTTCATTTATTCAAATGCTTTTCTGAGTTTTTTTAAAAATTCTGGAGAAATAACAATTTTAAACCTTGAAAAGACAAACATCTGCTGACTTTTGCATAAGGTTTTGCGATTGAAGATATTGCATGATCTAACAAAGCCAGTCATGCACTTATTTTTTCTGGAACTTTTGTTTCCAGAGAAAATAAATGAAGAGAGAAATTTTCGAGATATTTTTTAAGGCTTTGTTTCTAGAATCCTGAGCATTCTCAGATAGCATAGCATGATCCAAAGCCCAAAAACTCATCTGAGTTGCAAATGCTAAACTAAATGTAAAATGCATTTCCTCAGTTCTTCGGCATTTCGTTCGTTTACTTGCTTCATCAAGGTTAACCTATTGCAATGGAGCTTTTTACTTTGTTTTTTTGTGCTTGAAAAATCTAAAATAACATAGATGTTTAATAAAGATAATAAAATTTAAGAGACAAGCATTACTTTAGAGACAAGCATTACAATTTACTATAATATTTGTCAAGAATTTTAACCTCATGCGTATTCAAAAATGTTATTTTTGTTTGGTTGCTGTCTTTTCACTTTAATTTTAAATTTGTCAAGACTTTTTTAAGTTTTTTCTTAGCATCTTTTGAAAATTAAAAACAAATTTTTTCTTCTTACACACAGCTGTGATTGTTCAAAATCAACTTGGTCATCTGAACCTGATGATAAATTGTTTTTGAAAATTTCAAAAATTTCCAGGTAAACAGGGTAGAGCGAGGCTAGTTGAGCATAGGGGCAAGTTGGGCAATCTCAAAAACTACGTATCACATGACAAAACATCTAATGGATGAAAGTTAGGGAATTAGAATGTTAACACAATGCGCAACAAAAGATTGCTGAAAAGCTATTGAGTAAGGTACACGGGCACTTTTTCTATTTTCGACCAAAAAAGTAAAAAATAAATTTTTTGCTATTTTTCTTCTGTATGCTTTTTAAACTTTTTTATCTGCATCACTTAAGTCTTGATAGTTTACCAATATATCGAACTTTTGATTAAATTTAATGTTTTTTAAAGTTAAAGTTAATGTTTTTTCTTAAGTCTTCTTGTTTTTTTTTAAAACCTAACTAATGCGTCACCTTGTCTAGTACGGGTAAGTTGAGCAGCTTTGAGAAAAATAAAACTGAACTTTCAAACACAAAGAAACAACTTTGATTTTTTCTATTTTTATACTTACGTCATTAAAGTGTATAAAATAAAAAGTTGATAAACTACACACACGTAGTGAAAGTTTTATTGATGATTCACCCAAGTTTTGTACCATCCATATTCATTTGTTAATTTTTCAACTTACAATTCACAATTTCTCACCTTCCCCCTCTGGGGCAGGTTGAGCAGCTCTGCAAACTTTAGGCAATATTTTCTTAAAAAAATCAAAAACTATACTTTTTTCTTAACAAATTTTTAGCAGGGTAAATTATTTTTCAAATATTGAAAAAATTATGTTAATTCGACGCACCGCTCATGAGATCTGTTAGATTTAGTAAAATTTGCTCAATTAGCCCCGCTCTACCCTAATTTGTAAATAGTTTTTTTGTGAATCTTCGAATGTAAAAAGATTGAATTTTACCTCTATAAAAAATCAAAAAATGTAGGGGAAGTGGGGCATAACCGCCCCCGTAATGTTTGGATTAATGTTACATGAAAATAAAAACGAAATGTTTTTTTTTAGCAGTTTATTTCAATAACTACATCATTAAGCTTTTAATTGATGCATTTAAGAAAAAAGTTGAACGGGTTTTGAAAATGTTATTACACAAAAATTACACTTAGTGAAAAAAACGGTTTTGCCCCCATTGTGAGGCACAACCACACCCTCACAAAAATCGATGGGGCTACACCTTTCATGGTACATTTTTTTTACAATTCTCACAGCTCAGATTATTTGATGATTTTGTTGCATGTTTGCATACTGTGCAGGCATTCTTAGTATTTACATTTTGAGTTCTGCCCCAGAAGAGAGTTCTGCCTCAGAAGAGAGTTTTTAGAAAAAATTCAGTTTCATAGTTTAATTATTAGATAATGGTATTATCAAAAATGGCTTTCACTTCATGAAATAATGCTGATAACTTATATCTTTAACACTAAAATCAAATATTGCTTAATTCTCAAAAAAAAAAGTCAGGAAAAATATGATGTAAATATAATATTTTTATGAAAATGAACATTATTATTCACAACTTCTCAGAAACTTAACAGTCACTCTTTTTGACATGTGGTATGTTTTTTTCTATATTAGAAAACATTTTTTGAAGAGAAATGTTAAAAAACGGTTGTGCCTCCATATGCGGTTATGCCCCCACTTCCCCTACTTGAAAATAACTTTATATAGAAATAGGCAGAAAAAATATTTTTTTTATGAATTTCTAGAATAGACTTTTATGAACAACATTCAAGATATAACACGATGGGATCTCGCGGGTTCACAACTTTATCGATGTTTGAAAAATTCTTCCAAAAGAAGAAAACAGTTTTTATTTTTCACATTTTTTAAATCCCTTTCCAAAAAAGTAAAAAAAAACTCTAACAAAAAGTTTTACTCAAACATTATATAAATATCTTAAAAAGTCTTGTCTGTAGCTAATTTTTCAAAAATGATAAAAGTTCAAAACTTTTAACTTTTTTCAATCTTGCCAATTTGTGTTCATAGCAATAAAATTTGTATAACAAGAAAGACTTCTGATTAAAATAAAATCTTAAAGTTTTCTCACTTTATACTTTATACGTGATCATTCCATAAATCGACCGCAAATTCAAATTATGCTAAAGACTATTTATATTTACAGTCGTTTTATGTAACGCTATACAAATGGCGAAACTAAGAAGATGACGTAATTTTAGCATGTCATGGCAAATCTTAAATCAAAGTTTCAAAATTTCCACTTTGATGAGTCAATAATTTACGTGTTTTTTCAATCTTGTCAATTTTTTTAAATACAATAACATAAATACAAAAATTCAAAGCAAATCAGTCTAAGCAAAAAGACGTGGTTATTGGAAAAGTTTTCTTATATTACACACGATCATTTTAAAACTTTCAAGTAAAAGTTGATATGGGTTATCGACTTTTTATAAGTAAAAAAAATATTCTGGCTGCCTCTGTATATACTTCAATTTATTTTTGCTGGTGTCAACTGTTTAGAGAACCGACTCAAAATAGTTATAAAAAACAATAAATGAGCATGCTTTAATATTCAATAAAGAAAACTCTTGGTTTACAACTTTTTATTACCGGTAAAATAAATTAATCCAGAAAAAAAAAGAAAACTCCAGTTTTCTGAATTTTTGAATTTCTTTTACGTATGCACAAAAATTAATGTGTGATGTTCCATGTTAGCGATCATCTCAAAGTACGTACGCTCGGAGAGGAAGAAGGAGTCTGCAAATGTGGGTCAATTATAAAAAGGGGGTCAATTATAAAAGAAAATGGGTCAGTGGGTCAATTTTAAAAAAAAGGAGACACTAAATTAAAATAAATATCATGAAATGTTAGAAAAATAGGTTAAAAGCGTATGTACTTTTAGGGAGGTGGAAGGTACTCAAAAAAGCGTATTGCAAAATGCGGGAGGATGGGGGGTGTCATCGAAAAAAAGCGTACGTACTTTATAGACAACCCTTAAAAATTATTTCAGAATAATTAATGGTTTCCGGATTAGTAACCTATTTCCATTTTTAGTAGGTGTGACGCATAGATGTGCATCACTAATTTTAATTAAAAAAAAATTGATCAAAACCTGTCTAACAACCGCCTAAATATGTGAATTAAATATGTAAAATATAACATTTGTATAAAAATATAGAACATATAAAATTGATCCCATTGATTTGATTTTCATTCAAATCAAATTGATTTTTGTTAATTTGTTTGAACTAATAGTTTCTAAAACTCTTATTACGTAAAAAAGAATTATTCTTTTATTAACTGTAATTGAAAACACAAAACATGATTATTAATAATTATTACTGATTCATTAAACATTAGATTAGTTCAAGCTTGAAACAAATACTGCTTGATAAAAAAAGTAATTAGTTGTCATTTTAAATTATTTGAAAAGAAGCGAAAAGCTGCTTAATAGTTGTTAGTAACTGTTTATTTCAGCTAAAACAACAACAAAAAAAATGTTTTTTTGTTTATTTTTAATTACGATCAAGTTTACAAATATTTATTTAAGTGAGATAAACATGACTTCAAGTAATAGCTTAAGTGAGATAAACTCAACTTTAACAAAATTGTTTGTCGATTCCTTAGCAAATTCTTCTTCTTCTCAAAACAATTTAAATCAGGCAACAAATAATAGTATTACTGAAGAAATTGATATTTCTGGTATGACTTTAGATCAAATTTGTCAACTTTTCGAAATTATTGGTGAGAATTGTTCGTGTTCAAACCCTATTGTAGAATTCCTTTGTAATATTAAAAATCAATCTGAAAAAGTTATTGTAACATTCAAATGTGATTCCGTTTCAAATAAAGTAATAGGTATTTCAAATATTATATCATCAGTTTTCGCTTTGATTGGTAATGGATTTGTAATCGGTTTCGGAATATCTAGTTGGAAAGATCTCTCAAGATTTCGGCAATTAATTTTAGGTTTGGCTATTTCCGACTTTATGTTTGCAGTTGTAGAAGTTATGATAAGTATTCCTAAAATATGGACATGTCAGTGGTTGTACGGTTTGTTTTTGTGTAAAGTTCTTTATGCTGTACTGGCTGCGAGCGCAAACATTGCAGTGGGTTTCATAGTCATTGTTGCTGTTGATAGATACGTTGGCATTGTACACATGTTCAGTACATTGTTTAATCAAAATAGATTTAGAGTCATTGTAATCATAAACGTTGTGGCAGGAATATTATCTGTTCTTCCGCCATTGGTGGTTCTTCAAGTTAGCAAATTTAAAACTTGCGAAGAAAACTGGAACAATAAAAAATCCAGTGTTTATACAATGGTCTTATTTTTTGTTTATTATCTTATACCCGTAGTTGTACTTATTGTTTTATATTACATAATTATTGCTTGGTTAAAAGAAGCGTATTTAAAGTGCAAAGCATTAAATAACGCTCAACAAATATCGCGTTTGAAAAAAAACAAAAGAACTTTAATTATGCTAATTTCCATCTTAGCCTGTTTTGCAGTATTAGTTATTCCGAATCGAGCTGTTTGGATTATAAACGATTTTTATGGTTTGAGTAATATTAAAGATAAATATTTAATACGGTTTTTAAAGATAGTATCGGAGGTTCCGTATGTATTCCATGCAGCTGTGAATCCTATCATTTATTCGGTTGTAGATCTTAAGTTTCAATCTCAAATGAAAAAGTTTTTTAACGTTTTATGTAGATATCCTAAGCTAGCAGAGTCTAAGCCTATGAGTGACTCGCAAGCAACAATTGAGATGGTAGTCTCATCATCAATTGAGATGATGGTTGTAAATAATCATTAATTTGTTTTTTACGATCATTAAATAGTTTTTTAAACGATTTTTAGTGTGTGATATTTTTAATAAAAAATTACTAATTTTAAAATTTTAATATAAATTCTTTTAAGAGCCAGGTTTACAGAACTTTGAAGTAAATTTTTTATTAAATTATAAAATTTAGTTATTTAGGTACCTGTCTAATGTTCAAGGGTCTTGAGCAACCCCGAAATATGTTTTTTTTAACTTAATTTTTAAAACACAGTGTTATTTTATTATATAAAATATATTAAAGGAGAAAAAGATATAAATAGGTTCATTCTTTTTCTAATGCACAATACAATACCATATAATTTTAAAATATTGAATCATTACGTGTAGATAAGAATAATTTATTTATAAAAAAGAATTTCAATATAACATATATTTATATTATTTATATTTTGTTATCTGAATGGTCTTTAAAAGCTATTGTTTACGTGGCTTATTTTTTCTTTTTTTTATTTATTAAGGTGCTCCTGAAGGCCTTAGTTATATATATATATATATATATATATATATATATATATATATATATATATATATATATATATATATATATATACTCTTGCTAGTTAGTCGTAAGAGACTTTTTTTACATTGAAACGCTCTTTCGACTACACTATATGGGTATATATATATATATATATATATATATATATATATATATATATATATATATATATATATATATATATATATATATATATATATATATATATATATATATATATATATATATATATATATATATATATTTTTTTTTAAAACAAAAGTATCCGTATATATTTCATTAAAACAAAATTACATATTTTTACATATAAGTACAAAACGTACAATTAAACAATTTTTGTACCATTAAAATTTTTACAAGACAAAAGAAATTCAAAATTCTGTTTAGCGCATGCGCGTTGTACAGTGTACAAATTAAGGTAACTATTCGTTGTTTATAATATAAAGTGCTGGCTATTAACCCATGCATTTAAAAAATATATGCAAGTCCGTCGTACCACAGGGCTACTAGGGACTTGCTTGTGGACGTTGTTGAATATATATATATATATAATTATTCTTAAAAAATATTTACTTTGTTGTAAGGAAACTCGCAGAAGACTAAAATAGTCTTTTCATCGAGAACCTTTAAAACATAAAATAAACTTTAATGAACTACACCTTTTCAAGATGTAATTGAGAAAACAAAAATTGTAATTAAGAATCGTAAGATGTAATTGAGAAAACAAAAGTTGTAATTAAGAAACGTAAGATGTAATTGAGAAAACGTAAGTTGTAATTAAGAAACATAAGATGTAATTTAGAAAACGAAAATTGTAATTAAGAATCGTAACATGTAATTGAGAAAATGTAAGTTGTAATTAAGAAATAGAAAGATGTAATTGAGAACACGAAAATTTTAATTTTGATATCGCTTTAAAGGAGTAAGTGTAAAATGGCGCTTAAAAAAAATGGCGCGTAAAAAAATGGAGCGTATAAAATGACGCACTTAAAAATGACGCAAGATTTGTAGCGTAAATTTAATTTTTTAGGGAAAAATTTACGGAAAAATTTATAATTTTTGGGCAAATGAATTTAACATAATAAACACTAAAAACATTTTAGGGAAAAATTTATAATTTTTGGACAAATGAATTTAACGTAACAAACACTAAAAACAATAAATATGCGGTATGCAATCCCAGGGCCATGGCGGGATTTGTCCGGGGAAGGATGACCACGCGCTGTGACTGTGAATTTGCTATTTTAATTTATGTGTTCTCAATTACAAGTTACGATTTCTCAATTATATATTATGATTTCTCAATTATATCTTACGTTTTCTCAATTACATGTTGTGTTTCTTAATTACATGTTACGACTTCTTATTTACATGTTGTGTTTCTCAATTACATATAACGTTTTCTCAATTACATGTTGTGTTTCTTAATTACATATTATGACTTCTTAATTACAACTTTCATGTTCTCATTTACATCTTGAAAAGGTGTAGTTCAACAAATACACATAAGTAATATATATATATATATATATATATATATATATATATATATATATATATATATATATATATATATATATATATATATATATATATATATATATATATATATATATATATATATATATATATATATATATATATATATATATATGTATATATATATATATATATATATATATATATATATATATATATATATATATATATATATATGTATATATATATATATATATATATATATATGTATATATATATATATATATATATGTATATATATATATATGTATATATATATATATATATATATATATATATATATATATATATATATACATATTCATTTCATTATTGAATTTTAGATAATTCTTCGAACGAATGCGACAACAGAAATCTCACGTTTATTTGTAGATCTAGTTTTAAGCAAAAACATTTATATATTGGACATTGGATTTAACACTAGAAAACACTTGTTTTTTTATAATTGAAGATCAATTCATATTGAATTGTAAAATAAAATTTATTTTTATTAATTGTTTGAAAATATTTATATAAATTGTTTAAAAATAGTTTTTTTATCTTTATTGCCATATATTGAAATATATGTTAAATATTTAGGAAAGTCATTGTTTTACATTTTAATTTTGGCCTTAAGCAACTAGCTTAAATATCTTAAAAAATTATAATTAAGTTTTTAAAAATCTAATTAATAATTATATATTATATAAATATTTAATAATAAAAAATGTTCAAAAAGTCAAAAAAATATCCGTGCAACGTTAGTAATAATGCAAAACATTGAGCAGTTCGATGAAGAACTATAACGGGTTCTTTAAAGAACCTTATTTTAAGGTTCATCCGAAGAACCTTCGCAAAGGGTTCTTTGAAATGACTTTTATACTTCTAAATTGTTAAATAAAAAAGGAAGCTTTGATATAAATACACAAACAATATACACAATGAGAACTCTTGAAATAAGGCATTCTGGAATTCAAAAATTTACAACTCTCATGAACATGCCAAAGCCAATGACGCAATAAAACTATGATAAACTTGTTTTGAAAATAACTGATATTACAGAGAATATTGCACAGGAAACAATATTATATATTATATATTATTATATTTTCTTTGCCGTATAATTAAATTTACAATGAGAAAAAACCATTCATGTATAAAAATTGGCCGGAGCAAGAAGAAGACATAAACTGTCTTATCGCCAAGCCCCGTTTACATTAACGTCACAAAGTTACAAGTTAAAAACTAAAAGGTTAAAAATTGAAGTACAATACAATATTAGTTCGACAAATATAAGACACAAGTAATAAATCGAATAAATGTTATTTGTCTTTTCAAAATTAATAGTATATATATTTTTTATTTTAATAAGAAATAAACAAGATACACAAGACAATAGTAAATGAGTAGTGATGACTTTTTCAGGTTTAATTATTTTAGGTGATTTTAGAAGAAATCTTTAAAATCGAAAGTTTTTTCTAATAAAAAACGTTTAGATTCTCTTTTGAATTGTTCTAAGGAGATGCCTCGAAGAATTTTATTTTTAATTATATTTTTTAAAAAACCTTTCCATATAAATGGTCCCCGGTATTGAACTTGAAATGAATTGAGTTTTAAATAAGATCGTGGAATAACAAAATTATCAGATGAAAATTTAGTGGGATATTTATGAGATATTTCGGTAAAGTAAGACTGAAATATATTAGGAGATAAAGCATGTTTTGTTTTAAACGTAAATAGCATAACTTGGTATATATTAAGTTTGTAAATATTAAGCACATTAAGTTTCTTTAAAAGAGATTCACCATTAACAGTTCTGTTAACGCCAAAAATAATCCTACAAGCATGTTTTTGTTTGCTATAAATTTTTTTGAGCTTCCCATAATTGGTACTTGCCCATGCAAGATTACAATAGGAAAGATAACTATGAATAAATGAGAAATATACAATTTTTAAAGATTCCGTATTAAGAAAAGGTTTAACTTTATATAGCATTGAAATATTTTTGGAGATTTTATTTTCAATAGATCTAATATGATATTTCCATGATATATTTTCATCTAATATCACTCCTAGAAAGTTAATAGTTGACTCTCTTTTAATAACTTTTTTGTTCATAAAGAGATCAGGTAGTTTTAAAAAAAGGTTATCACCTTTACTAGGTTTGTGGAACAACATAAATTTAGTTTTCCCAACATTTAATGAAAGTTTATTATTCGTAATCCATTCATTTATTTTTAATAACTCTTTATTAAAAATTCTAAACAGATCTTTAATATTTCTGTTAGAGTAAAAAAGATTTGAGTCATCAGCAAACAAAATAACGTTTAGAATTTTGGATGCTAAATACAAATCATTAATGAACAGTATGAATAATAAGGGCCCTAAGATTGATCCTGGGGAACAAGTTATGATATGTTTTTTTTCTTCATTTTCTGTATATGTTATGTATTGTTTCCTGTTTGAAAGGTAACTTTTAAACCATTGTAAGTTATTGTTTAATACTCCATACATTTCTAGTTTTTTTATTAGAATATCATGATTAACAGTGTCAAATGCTTTTGACAAATCAATAAAAACTCCTAATGTATAGCAATCATTATTGAACCCATTGGATACATAATTTATTAGATCGACTACTGCATGGTCCGTTGAATGATTTTTTTTTAAACCCAAATTATTTATTATACAGAATATTGTTCTCAGTTAAATAGTTGGTAAGTCTATCATACATAATTCGTTCTAACAATTTAGAGAAACATGGTAAGACAGAAATAGGTCTATAATTGGACATATTTGTATCATCGCCATTTTTAAAAATAGGTATAATCTTAGCAATTTTTAATTTCTCCGGTACAATACCGGATTTTAAAGTAAGATTAAAAATGTGAAACAGTGATGGTTCAATAATATCAAACACAGCTTTAACTACATTTACGCTAATTTTATCAATGCCCGCACATTTATTATTTTTTAGACAGTTGAAAGCATTGCGCATCTCACTTAAGTTTAAATTAGATTCTATCATAGATGTGTTGGGTGTATTTATATAAGATTCGAAGTTGTTTGAGTTGGTTTTTGGAATTTTATCAGCTAATCTTGGTCCAATATCAAGAAAAAATTTGTTGAGCTTGTTAATTATGACTTCTTTATTATAAATTATATCCCCGTCAACTAAAAGTTTTTCTGGCAATTTATTATTTTGACATTTATTTGTACCGATTATCTGCTTAATTACATTCCACGTCTTTTGTGTGTTTCCATGTGTTTTTTCTAGCAATTTTGCATAATAATTTTTTTTAGATTGTTTCTTTATTTTTTTAAACAAGTTTTTATAATTTTTATATTTTGTTTCATTTTTATATGTTTTATGTTTTAAATATTTTTCATAAAGGTTTTGTTTCCTCTTTGATGATTTGAGTAAACCTTTGGTCATCCAAGGGTTTAAAAGTGATTTAGGATTTATAATTTTTTTTATAACTGGAAATGCCAAATCATAGTAAACGATGGCTAATGCTGTAGCTGATTTAAGACAAAATTGTCAAAATGATGATGCGATTTTGGATATTGGTGTATTGTGTGATGGCACATGGCAGCTTAGGGGTTTTTCCTCATTTGCAGCACTCTCAATGGATAGTGAGAAAGTTGAGGTAATGAGTCGAGTCTGCAGGGGGTGCAGATCAGAATCTTGCTAAAAAATGATCCTCTGCTTATATACATTGGAAAAATTCCCATATTTGCAAAATGAACTATAATGGTTCTGCAAGTGGAATGAAATGCGAAGGAGCCAACCGCATTCTCCAGCGATCTATTAAAAAACACAAATTAAAATTGAAAAAAATAGTGTAAGGACTTGGTGGTCGTGGAAGATTAACAGATTCGACAATTGATCGACTGCAAAATTTGGAATCGTATACCGATGACAAAATTAAGGAAGGTCACATAACAAATTGCGTCGTCAAAAGTTAAGGGCTAAAAAAATTAAGGAAAATGAAAAAAACCATAGAAAAAGAAAGCAAAACATATGAAACAGGAGGATTCTAATTTCAATTAGAGTCTTGTATGTTATATTTGGTATGTTTGTAGATTATTGTTTATTTATTTTTTACTTTTTGCGCGTTTTTTCAGTTCAAGGTTTTTCAATATGCCGGCCGCAATTACAAGAGATCCACTTGGGCTTTTTGTCTGAAATTTTCAGCACATCTTCATTTTAATAAGAGCTGTGTTTTAAATGGAACAGAATTTTAATAAATCAAGTAAAAAACCAGTATGGCTAATATATATTTTAATAAAATAATCTTTTTCCTGATATCAACTTTGGTGGAGAGGCCCTCAGACCGAAAACTTTTTTTAAAAAATCTGTTCCATTTAAAACACTCATGCACCCATTCTAAATGTGTTACCAAAGTTTCGCTTTGCCTTTTTTATTAGTTTTTGCCAAATCTTGGCTGGCGCAAATCCTATTTTCTGCTTATTTTTTAGGGTTTTTTGGGGTATATGCAATACCCGTTGACCAAACTTTTTTTTTGTAAAATTTCTGTTTTTATTAGAATGTTTGTTAGATTATTTCAAAAGTTTATTTCTATTGTCTATATTTAATAATGGGGGGTGATATCCCTTAAGGAGAAAAATATAGCGTTCAGGGTCTTTCGTTTTCAAAAAACGCCGTTTTGATTGGTTTATTTTAAAAAATTTTATTTTGTTTGCAAATATTCGATAATTTAAAATCTACAAGTTTAAGATTTTAACTAATTACTTTGAGGTAGCAGTTATATAAAAGCTGAAACCTTTATTTAGGTAATTTATTAAACGACTATAAAGAGATTATGAAAGTAGATTGCTATGAGAGAAAACTAATGTGAAAACTTTGATTTTAACGTTTTTACAATTTACGGAAAGATAAAATATGAGGTTTTTAGCCATTTATTGAATATTTTGATGCTGTAAACATGGTAGCTTTTTATTTTTAAATAAAAGAGATACTTTTGGAATGTAAAAAATTAACACATTTGTTTCACCTGTTTTCATGACGCTGCCCCGTCGCGTTTTATGTATTTTAGTGGTTGTTTTATTTTGTTTTATACTTTGATTGAAAAAAGATTTATCAAAAAATAATAAATTATATAAAAAAAGATTAAATTCTACTTTTTAAAAATATATAATAGTAATAGTTGAAAATAAGCGAAACACACAAAAAGTTGAAGTGAAAAAACGCAAATTTTAGTTTTTAAGAAATGCAATTTTTTCGGATCTCTCTATAACTACGTTGGGTATACCGCGTTAGTTTTTTCCTTAACTACGTTGGGTATACCGCGTTAGTTGTTTCCTTAACTACGTTGGGTATACCGCGTTGTTTCATTATTGTAGATTTTAGCTTTATTTTTAGATAGTATTCGTTGTTTAAGTTTAATAGTGATTCGTTTATGGAAATTAATTTGTTAATTAAATAGGACCGTGATATGTAATTGATAATTTTGAGAGTCTCACGGATTCTGGTGTGTGTAGGGGGGGGGGGGGGGACCACCAACTTTGTCCTCCCTCCTCCTGGATCCGTCAATGTATGAGGTAATAAAAAGTTGAAAAAATAACAAATTATTATTTTTTGTTTTATTTTGTTTTTTTGTTGCATAAAACAGAGAAGTTTTGTTGCAATAAAAAGTTGCTTAAAATTTGATCTTTTAATAAAAAAAATATTTTAACGACGAATCATTATATTCCACAAATTAGTTCTAATTGTCAGGTTGGTGTTTGTTTACTTAATCAACGTTTGTTTTTCGACCTAATTTAAAGTTAAAGTGCTGCTTTTTTAAAACCTCGGTGTTTTTAAGAAAATTTTTTGGATGTTCAAATATCTAAATGGATTAAAAGAAGTGATCTCTAAAAAATGTCTTTTCGCAAAAATATTGAATCTAGCATTATTATTATAATATTCAAATTTTTGCTTAAGGTACTTATCATACACTGATCTGTTCTATAAGATTTATAAATTGTTTCTATTAATATAATTTTCATTCAAATCAATCATTAAAAATCAAATTGATTTTAGATAACTTGTTTGAAATAAGAGTTTATACAAGCTTTAGTACTTATTACTTAAAAAAGAATTTTTTTACCGATTAATCATTAGATCAGCTCGAGCTTGAAACTAGTTTTACTTGATAAAGAAGTCATTAGTTGTCATTTTAAATTATTTGAAAAAAAGCAAAAGCTGCTTAATAGTTGTGAGTAACAGTTTAATTACTTTAGCTGAAACAAAAAAAAAAAAAAAAAAAAAAATGTGTTTTCGTTTATTTTTAATTACGATCAAGTTTACAAATATTTATTTGAGTGAGATGAACATGACTTCAAGTAATGACTGGAGTGAAATGAACTCAACTTTAGCAAATTTATTTGTTGATTCCTCAGCAAACTCTTCTTTAACTCAAAACGATGTAAACCACGCAGAACATTTTAATATTACTGAAGAAATTTATTTTTCCGGTATGACTTTAGACCAAATTTGTCAACTTTTTGAAGTTAACAGTGAGAATTGTTCGTGTTCGAATCCTAGTTTAGATTTTTATTGTGATAATCAATTTGAACAAGGTAAAGTAACATTCACATGTGATTCCGTTTCAAGTAAAGCAATAGGTATTTCAAATTTAATATCATCAGTGATTGCTTTGATTGGTAATGGATTTGTAATTGGTTTCGGAATATGCATTTGGAAGGATCTTAAAAGATTTCGGCAATTAATTTTAGGTTTGGCTATTTCCGATTTAATATTTGCTATTATAGAATTTATATTAAGCATTCCTAGAATATGGACATGTCATTGGTTGTACGGTTTATTAATGTGTAAAGTCCTTTCTGCTGTATATGCAGCAAGTTCAAACATTGCAGTGGGTTTCATAGTCATTGTTGCTGTTGATAGGTACATCGGGATTGTACACATGTTTAGTAAAATGCTAAATCAAAATAGATTAAGAGTAATTGTAATCATAAACGTTGTGGCGGGAATATTATCTGCTCTTCCACCATTGGTGGTTCTTCAAGTTACCAGTTTTGAAACATGCGAAGAAAATTGGAGCAGTAGAAAATCTAGTGTTTACACAATGGTCTTATTTTTTGTTTATTATCTCATACCCGTAATTGCACTTATTGTTTTATATTGTATAATTATTGTTTGGTTAAAAAAAGCTTACTTAAAGTGCAAAGCGTTAAATAATGCTCAACAAATATTGCGTTTGAAAAAAAACAAAAGAACTTTAGTTATGCTGATTTCAATCTTAGCCTGTTTTGCAGTATTAGTTCTTCCGAATCGAGCTGTTTGGATTATAAACGATTTTTACAGTTTGAGCAGTATTAACAATAAAAATGTAATCCGTTTTTTAAAGATAATGTTGGAGATTTCGTATGGATTCCATGCTGCTGTGAACCCTATTATTTATTCAGTTGTAGATCCTAAGTTTCAATCTCAAATGAAAAGGTTTTTCAACTTTTTATCTAAATTTCCTAAGCATGAAGATTCTAAACCTTCGAGTGGCTTGCAATCAACAACTGAGGTGACAGTCACATCGCCAATTTAAATGATGGTTGTAAATAACCATTAATTAGTTTTTCAAAACTTTTTTTAGTGTGTTATATTTTCAAAATTACTATTTTTGAAATTTTAATATAAATTTCTTTTAAGACCCAGGTTAACATACTTTGGAAAAAAGTAATAACATTAGATACCCGTTTAATGTTCAAGGGTCTTGAGCAATTCCTAAATATGTTTTTTTTTAAAAAAAAAACTATTTTTTGAAATATAGTGTTGTTTTATTATATAAAATATATTACATAAAAATTATAAGTTATATAAAATTTATTACATGAAAAAAAGAAATTAATGTGTTTATATAAAATGTATTACATGAAAAAAAGGTATAATTATGTTTATGTAAAATTTATTACATATAAAAAAGATTTTAATATGTTTATCTAAAATGTATTACATGAAAAAAAGATATAAATATGTTTATTCTCTTATAAACTTGCAACTTCCCCATTGATTTACGAATGCTATTTAAAAAATAAATTATTAGCAAGTAAAAATAATATGAAATATCACCTTTGAGACAACTTGGAAACAAATCTAAAGGACGATTGAGCATTGATTTGTTGAAATCTTTGCGTGTTTATGAAGATAAGTTATGTAAAACATGTTAAAAAGTTTCTCTGATAAGATTTCATTTTTGAAAGTTTTGTGATTTTTTTGTTGAGAAACAATTTTAAAAATCTTGAGTTGCTGACAAATTTATATATAATATAAATATTTACAAATTAATATTAGGCCTTGCTAAATTTTTATTTTTGACTGAAGAAAAACAATTATCTTAGATTGTTAAAAACAAAATTATGATGTATACAAAATTTCTGTTATTTTTTTTCACCACTATTCAAACATTTTTGCGTATTTCACCAAAACGTAGTCAAATGTCATCATCAACACAAGTTTTCATTTTGGTACCAAATCATTTAGTAGCAGCTCATTTCCAATTTCTTTTATATAATTACTGATTATACTAGTTAAAGATTTATCACATTACCTCCATGTGGATGGAATGTGTAGTAGCAAATTTCCCTACGTAAAAGGAATAGTAGTAACCATGGCCATCTTTATACTAAGTATAAAGATAAAGATGGTAAGTATAAAGATCGCCATGGTAGCAACACATTATCTCCGCGTGGAGGGAATGTGAAGTAACACATTTCCTTCACGTAAAGGGAATATTTAGTAGCACATTACCTCCGCGTGGAGAGAACGTATAGTAACACTACTTAAATTTTATCAGATTTTCTTGCTTTTTGTGAAATTTTTAAATTCGACTGTTTCATCTTTGGATCTTAATGTTGATAACTATTAACCTTTGATTCACAAAAATCTCAATAGCTAATATGGTGGCCTGGAATATACGCATAAATTTATATTTGAAAATCAGGTTTTAATCCTATCGCTCCTTAGTTTTTATCTTGACTCTGATCCTTGTGCTCAGATTTTTCTTATTCTTCTTTAGTTGATTCAAATTATGCAATCATCTTACTCAAATAATGCCTCTTACTTCTTTAAAATCAGATTAACCTAACTACTACCTAAAACTATCTTGGAATTATTTTACATTTTTTACTGATGGTACTTGGGTTAGTATCTTTTGGTTGATCAATGGTTCTAAGGTTGGTGTCTTTTCTCTCTTCTTAAAAGTGCTTTTTTTACATTCCCCTGAATTTAGACAAGATTGGATGATTTAATTTCTTTTTGTCGCTTTTAAGTAAAGTTGCACTGAATCCCATAATTTAGTACAACTTGTCTATAACTTTCTCTCGCATAGTTTAGTTTGTCTGTATAGGCTGTTTTACAAAATGATTAGAATCGAAGCTAAAACTAAAGAAAAAGTTACAAGTTTATTGCGCATGTTATATAATAAAGTTAAAATAATTAAAAAACTAGTGCATTAAAGATTTCCAAAATTTAGACAGTAACCTATAAATCATTGGGTAATACGTTTTTTTGATTTAATAAGATTTGGAATCTTCCGTGCAGTTACAAATACCGGGATTATTTTATTTTTCAGTTGAAGAAAAAAGTCATAACTATATTTCAGTATATTGTAGTAAAAACACTAAGACATAAAACAGTTTTATTTATTTTCAGAAAAAATAGAAAATGAAACTCTTATTGCCTAATCGACTTTGTATTTTAATACAAAATAATCCTGCAACGGAAAATGTCCTTTCTGCTCTTTGGTTTAATTGTCTTTAAAGTATCATAAGCTTTCTAAAAATTATTTACCCTCGTGTACATCAACTTTAGACAGTAACATTTAATAATTTAGAACTCAAAGATTCGTTTAATCATGACGAAGAATTTATGGCTTTTGCTACAAATAGATTAATGTATTAAACTATTTTCTGCACTGATATTTTTTTCACTTGACAAACTTTAAAGTTGTCCAAGGACTATCTAGGATGAATTAAATTTATGGCATTTAATAACCGGGATTTTTAATAACCGGGATTTAATTTAGAGAAATAAAAAATGATGCAAACAGAACAGAAAAATCTTTTATTACAAAAAATATCGTTTTATATTAAAGTTTGTAGAACAAAAATTGTTTCTTACAATGTCTAAATGTTTTCCTTCTTTATTAATAATATTTTCGAATCAACTTTTGAATCCATAGCACGTCTTTTGGATGTAATAGCTCAAAATACGACCCCAGGCCTTGATATGGAAGTCCTAAAAACACCAGTATTTATGTGGGATTTTTAAAAAGCATCTGAATAAAGTTTAGCTCGCTCTGAATATTCCAGAGTATTCACATTTGATGGCCAAAAAATACCTATTGTGTTTTACAAACACCAGAAGCATTCTCGGCTATCAGAGACAACGCAAAAATCATAACCTGACAAGGGCTTTTTGTTTTAAAATTATGTCTAAAGTGTTCTGGAAGTTCACGTTGGTTGCTTTTAACACGGTTGTTTCTGATAAGGCACAATTTATGTTAAAAAATAAAGGCACATTTAACAATAACTGACACTAAAATATTTTTCATCAAAGAAGACTAAAACTAGCATGTCTTTCTTCAACAAGGCCAAGACTCGTTTGTTTCTTTTAAGTCGGTTGATCTTACTACTTTCCGTCAGTAATGGCCTAGCTGTTCTGGATAAAAATCTAACCCCTTTATTTACATATGCTTAAAAAACTGTACGCTAATAACCGTACTTTTTTGTTAATCACTCGATAATAGTATCGAGTAATTAACAGTACTCTTATAAGTGTACTTATTTCAAACTATGTAGTTTGTTAACTTCATGAATTTTATCAAAATATTTTAATCAAAATACTTTTATGTTAACTGAATTATCGCAAAAATAAAAAAACTATTAAATTAAAGCATTTCTTAAAATATTTCATTAACAATTCATTAATATTTGAAATTCTTTTAAGTTTTTGTTTTTATCGGTTTTAAACATTTATCAGATTAAAAAATATTTTTTTTCTTCTTAATTTTTCTGCTTTTAAGTCAGACGTAGGCGTAGATTTTTTGATACTTTTATTTCTAAAGCCTCGTAGTTATAACTTCCGCTCGCGTCACTAGATTAAGTGTTGTTTCGTTGCATACTCAAAGTAGTTAAAGCAAATTAATAAGGCATAAATGAAAACTGTTTATAAAAATCTCATCTTTGATAATCAATAACTTAAAGGTTTTAAGTTAAATTAAACAAATGAGTTTTTTTTTCTAACGTAACTACTTTTACTTGTGTTTTTAAAAATATTTTTTACAGCTTTTTTTTTTTTTTTAAAAAAAAAAATAGAACTAGTCTTTTTACTGTTATCAAATTAATATTTTACTTTCTTCGAAGGTTGACTGAATTGTCTGAAACTGTTTTTTGTGAACAGAAAACCTAAAGATGTTTATTTTATTGAAATTAATTTCTCATTTCAATTTTAATTGTAGGTTAAATCCGAAGCAAACTTTTAGTATACAAAGTATACGATAAAGAATACCGTAAAGTTAGAATACCGTATATTGAGTTTAAGAACTTTTTTTACAAATTCAAGTCTTTTTTTAAACATGTCGGTTTTCCTCAGTCGGTTTGCTTGATATTATTTCAAACAAAACTTAAAAATACCCTTAACTTATACACTGGGCCAAGTACAACTGTAATAGTTCTAAAGTGTGTTTACAACTTGATCAAAATGACTATTTTTTCCTGATTTTGGTTTTTAATCAGTAAGAATTAAGGACCATTCTGGTTGCTAGGGAACTAGATAATTATTTACATTTTCTAATACGATGTGAACAATATGAAATACAAAATTGAATAAATCTTGTTTTACAAAGCGGTTTAAAATTATTATTTCTTAAGGTGTATTTGGTTATGGGTTTCCAAATGAATAAATATTTAGAAACTTAAGGGCATAGATAGTTTTTCCACATATAAATGAAACATAAAACAATGTATGCATTTAATTCGTTAACATAAAAAAATATTCTAGTATGTGAGAATCAATCTGCGGAATTGATTAAACTCATAGCGTGTTTCCTATCTCAGACAGTAGTTGCATAATTTACATAACTGTGAACAAATGAGTAATAAAGTTGTTTCAAACTTTTTTTATTCAAATATATTTTGGCCTTGTATAAGATTCCAATACTTTCAGATACTTTATCGCAAATGCAATTAATATGTTGTTTCCATGTGATGTTCTCGTCAAGAAAAACACTAAAAATTTTATGATTAAATCTCTTTTTATTTCTTTTCTTGTTTTTTTTATTTCTCCACAATAAAATTTTGCGGCATATTTGTGGGTAAAAAATGTTTTTTGGAAAGGGGTTAAAAGATAATCCATTTTGTTTTGTTTATGTTTAGGGTTAATTTGTTACATTTGAACCAATTCGATTCATCATTTTAGTTCATCATTCATAGTCGAAAAGGGTTGGTTAAAATTATTATTAGAGAGAAACAAATTGGTATCATCTGCATTTATGAATATAACAAATAATTTTTTTACATCAAAATAGTATTTGTTTATCATTATTAATATTATTTTTTACCTTTCCAAACAAATTCATTAAACTTGGGTGAATGATTAGTACTTCTTTCAAAGAAATGTCGTACATTTTTGTACAGTTAAGTGTAAAAATTTAGTGTAAAAAGATTTACGTTTTTTCGCTTTACGTGAAAAACCGATGTATCATTACTTATAATAGCTTTTTTAACATAAA